CTAATGTTAAATATGTAGGGAATCCATATTTAGAAACGCTCTATCTCAGATATACATCTTTCTTCTTCATAAATCTCCTTAAATATAGTTCATTATAACAACACACACACAAACACACACACATATATATGTGTGTGTGTGTGTGTGTGTGTGTGTGTGTGTGTATCAACAAGCTGAGTGTATGTGTGTGAGAGAGAGAGAGAGGGGGAGTAAGAGAGAGAAAGAGAGAGAGAGTTATAGAAAGCGAAATAGGGTCGAAAAGGGAGAGGCATGTTGAGAAAGAGAGAGTGAAGCCTGATGGTGGTAGAGAAATTTGCCCGGGTTTCATTGTTGTTCGCGTGAAGTGAACCCAGCGAAATATGAAATTGTCAAAATTTTCTTTTTATTATTATTATTATTATTATTATTATTATTATTATTATTTTCGGTTTCATATTCAGGCGTCGTCCTTTCTTCTTTCATGTGGCCCATTTATTAACACGGGCCGCTGAACAAACACGCACGCACACACACACACACACACACACACAAAGATATAGAAAGAGAGAAAGAGAGAGAGAGAAAGAGAAAGAGGGAGAGAAAGGGAGACACACACAGAGACAGAAAGAGAGAGAGAGAGAGATATACACACACACACACACGGCCATTCAGTCTGAATTGCAAACAGACACAAAGAGGGTAACTCGTCGCACAGTTGTGGTTAACAAGCTATTTGCAAAGGCTGTTAGTAGCTCATTCTCTAAAAGTGAGCCTTCCACAAATGGCCGGCTTTTGCCAGAATAATTTAGCACAGACTGAATACAGAAATATATTTGATACTTTCTGAGCGCTCCACGTTTCTGGCCTTATGCCAAACTCAGCCAATCCTTATATAAACAACGCCTCTAATATATATATATATATATATATATATATCGGATGTGAGGAGAACGAAAGTAATATATAAATTCCAACGTTCACAGCATTAATCCAAAAGAGTGCTCGATACCGATAGTAGAGCGATAATTATTTATTTATTATAATTTTATCATATAGACAAAACCATTTTACTCACTACAAAGATGCAAATTCGTTTCAGTGCATTTCAACTGCACTTCGACGGGTGAGAATCGAAAATGATTTGCTTCAAATCTCACCCGTCGAAGTGCAGTTGAAATGCACTAAATAAAGTTGCATCTTTGTAGTGAGTAAAATGGTTTTTATCTATATGAAAAATTATATATATATAATAATATATATATATATATATATATATATATATATATATATATATATATATATATATATATATAACCTATTGAGCCAGAACAAGCCACCAATGTTTCACCCCAACGTATCTTCAGGGTACTACTGATTTTGCTCTACTTATTGTATTGAGCACTTTAGTTTTTTACTTAATCCACTCTGTCGCTGTTTTTTTTTTTTTTACAGTGCTGATTGATTATTTTTGACCAACACGGATGTTTTTAGTCTTTTCTTTTTTAATGCATTTTCCCTGATATCGTTTGATTTAAATATATTTTTATTTACAAATCGTAATATCCGTTTTTTTTTCCACACCACTTGAATATAGATATTAAAATAATATATATATATATATATATATATATATATATATATATATATATATATATATATATATATATATATAGTTATACTCATTTGGAAAAACGATAGGTATTTTGGCTTGTAATTGAACAAATCATTGCCCAAGGAAAAATGCGTGATAAAAAAAAGAAAGAACTAAGAACATGAAATTGAGGCGAAAACAATCGTCCAGAATCCAAGCTCAGAGTCCAAAGAAAAAACCTCCTAAACGAGTAAAAGCAAAAAGTAACTATGTAAAGTACTCAATATAGCAATTTATATATATATATATATATATATATATATATATATATATATATATATATATATATATATTAGATATGATATATATATATACATTTTACATTGAGCACTATTTTGTAAAAACAAAAAAAAAATAAAATAAAAATAAAATATCGACAAGAACACGGATTATATATCTTACTGTTCTTTCTTTTTTACTATATATATATATATATATATATATATATATATATATATATATATATATATATATGATTTGAAGATCAAGTGTAGATTAATACGTTGAAAAAAGACTGTTATTTGACACAGATTTTGTTTGTGATTCTGCAGCGCCAACTCACGGCCTTGGAAGAATTGTCGTCTGTACTAAGACTTGCAATCTCCACTCGCTCCACTCCATTTTTAACCATTGATCATTGTATCAGGTTGTATAAAGCTGACAGTTTAGTTATTTCTGAACTGGTCTGGCGCTATCATGTCATCCATCTGAAAGTCTGGAGCTGATGAGGTTTTTTCAGAACAGGATTGCAGTTTTGACGTCAGTGTTTATCAATTTGTGATGTTGGGCGAAACTTCCCTCGAGAATTTCAAATATATCTAATTTAATTTACAGTAAGAGGGAGACACAGACCAACTTTAGTAAATTGGTCCCAAGGAAGACGTCAAAAATGAATGTGACGACGCAACCGACTCGGCCAAACCCTTTCTAGTTAATATTTACCAGCCTCCCCACGAGGTCAGTTGTGGCACAAGGCCGAGTTTAATGTAGGACAATCCGAGCCCGTAGGCTCTTCCAAAAATTCCTCCTAGACCCCGTATAGAATGAGGTTGTTAGCTGATTCCAGAGACGAGAATCTGCCCTTTGACATAGCCTGGTTTGGGGATCCTCTCTGTCCGGAGGCAGAGAGTTTGACCAGCACATTATGAACAGATCTGTTCGACTGTTCCCAACTCTTTGTAATTTCTAAGACGCTCACCTGTGACATGAAGAAGTTGTGTGTAGAACTACATCTACAAATCCGACTGGAACCTTTAATTTAATGTCAATAAGTATACTTTGTTCTTAGAGAATTTGGTAAGTGGTAACCCCAATATGAATGGGATCCCCGGAGATGGTATCAAATTAATATTTGCACCCAGGTTTATACCAGGCCACTAGAGAAGCCAGGTGGATCATGTTTGCAAGGGAGATAATCCAGGAACCAAACGCAGATTCGAGACTTCAAAACATATCAGCAACTGCCCCGGAAAACAGGTGCTGGAAGCAGACAAGCCTTATTATATAAAATGTATCTATCTATAGCAATGTTTCCCTAACATTTAAATGCAATGACAATCATTATCTATTCTGTCTTCTGATTATTCTTCTATTGTTCTCGCTCCTTACTAATGTTTCTCTTTTACATTCAGTAACCCCCTTGTGTCTTAGTGGCTTTATTGCCTTGAATGAGATGAACGAATTAAAAAAAAGAAGAAAAAAAGACTTTTTATTACACCAGTGATCGCGCTTCATTTGTAATGAAGAGGTCTCTTTTGTATCCGGGCCTCAATTCTGAAGAAATCTTAACAATACCTAAGCTGCTAGAATTGCGAAATAAAACAGTTTGATTCCAAATTTACAGATTAATGGTGAAAGGAAAATAAAATTTATTTCAGCCAAACAATGTAAATTTTTCCCTTCTCCAAACTCATTTGATTCTTAAAACCGTGAAGTCTTTCGATTTGCGATGGAATTGGTTGATTCAGTGCCATAAAATGCCATTTTTACGGGGGATAAATATTTTTATTAAAGCGATATTAAAAAGAGAGAAAAAGAACATGGTTAAACAAAAAGGGATAACAAAAAGAATATTATTTTAAAGTAGGTAAATCCACTGATTCGCTATAAAATGAGCCTACCATGATGATAAAATGCCTCAAACGTAATAAAATCAAAGTTTTATCGTCAAAATATTTATGTTATTATTAATTGGAAAGACCAAATGGTTTTTTTTATTATCAAATTATATTTTGGATACATTTTAGAATATTAGAAATGCTGATAAAAATATCTTGTTTTTCTTGCATCAGCAGGTGGTGGGGTCGATGATTAGTATAGAACATTTTATGGTTATTTTTGGAAATTCTACCAAAAATCAAATTTCGGATTTTAATGGGGTTGTAATGAGATCTTAATGGGACTTTAATGGGATTTTAATGGGGTTGTAATGAGATCTTAATGGGACATTAATGGGATCTTAATGGGACTTTAATGGTATTTTAATGAGGCTTAAATGGTATTTTAATGGGACTTTCATGATTTATTCATAAACGAATGAAATAATTTTAGAAATATTTCTTCTTTAGAAAATTTCGGTAAAAACATTTTTTACAACTGTTACCCCACACTTATTTACTTTTTTGAAATTTCGAGAAATTAATTGTTATACCGCTTAATTTTTTCATTAGTTATACGCAGAATTGCTTGGAGAATTTAAATCATCATTTTTCTTTTGTAAAATAGGACACTCAATTATCAAAAATCAGCTCTGAGTCGTAAAATAATAAAAAAATGCAATAAAACTAAAATATTATTTAATTACAAAATTTTTAAATTGATTTTATAAATAAAATATATAATGGACACTATTTACTTAACAAAAATATTTCGATGAATAATGAATTTTTAAAAGAATTGTTTTCATTTTTTAAATTTTAATTAGAAATTTATAAATTTCTATTAATTTTTAGCTGTTAGGAAATATTGTTATTCAGTAAAAAAAACTGTTTTTAATAATCACAAATGGCAAAACCTACTACAGCTCATCGACCCCCAGTATTTTAAAAAGAATTTTGATTTTTTGTGTATAAACGTGGCAATTTATATAAATACGGATGCCCATACACGACACAATGAGAAAATATGAGCGATAATCATAGCGAATTTTAAGCCAAGGTACTTGACATTCAATAAAACATTAGGTTATATAGTATATTTTTCTAAATTTGAAAGATTTCTGGGTAATTAAAAAACTTGTGAAAGAGATGCTAACGCCATATTCTTGAAGGAATTTTACAGATATGTAAAAACAATTTAAAACTTTTCTACTTAAATAATGTCTTAGTTTTATTGCATTTTTTTTTATTTCACGATTCAATGCAACTTTTTG